TGTGTGTGTGTGTGTGTATATATATATATATATATGTGTGTGTGTGTGTATATATATATATATATGTGTGTGTGTGTGTGTGTGTGTGTGTGTGTATATATATATATATATGTGTGTGTGTGTGTGTGTGTGTGTGCGTATATTGTTAAGTGTTGGCTTTTTCTTTTTTATTATTAAGTCTTCCATTATTTTTAATCTTTTTTTTACAGGTGGATGAGGTTATTATGTTTGTGTTTTCTACTTGTATATTACAGATGAAGTCTGGTGTGTGTGTTTAAATGGGTTCGAAATTCCAATCACCTGAAGAAGGCCAAAGCATACAACGCCCGAAAACATTGTGAATATGGCAATGAAGATGAGGATAACTGTCTGAATAATGTAAATAATGCAAGTAATCATAATACTTCATCTCAGAGATATAGACAGATATTTTCCAAGCAGTAGTTTATTGTACTAATAAATGTCTAGAAACTAAAGCCCACCATTTTGGGCACCTTTTGCGATTATAGAGTTCAACGGTAACTTGTTTTAATCTCATGATGTGTGAATAAATTTACTATTACAATATCTATACAGGTTTTTCCTTTCCTGAAGTGTGTATATGTTTTTTTTTGGTGGATTCTCTATGTATGTGCATATATCATAAGAAAGAGAAAGAAGAGATGGAGTTAGAATCCACAGTTCTTAGCATTCACTTTTTTAAAAAGGGCTCAATACAATGTAGAGCTAAATATTATTAAAATATTTTTATTACAATAGATTACAATAAAAACATTTTACAGAAAACTTTCATGTTTTGGAACTATAATCGTTCCTCTTCGGGCGATGGTATGATAAAAATGATTTATTTGGGAAATTTGAAAACAAATCATTACCTCTTTTGAAAGTTAAAAATGGGAAGGAGGTCTAATATCAGAATTAAGAAATATACTTGTGGGCATGTCTAGATTAACCAATTGAAAGTTAGATCTAAGCTGAAATAGAAAAAGAAGGTTGAAGGGTAGAGGGAGGTAGGTTATTAATTTATGTCTTGATAAACTGACACTCCAGACAAGTCAGCAGTGAACATCTTGTAGTGAAATACATTGTTCAGATTTGGTGAAGTAGACAGAGTTACTTTGAACAAAAAGTTATTTTTAAGAATTTTTCAAAATTTTTTTATACTATGGAAACTTCTTAAAGGGACTGAATATGTAAATTTAAAAGAAATTTTTTTTCATGGAACTTTAATATACAATGCTAATTATATTGAATGGGCAGTAAAACAAGGCAATATTAAAGCTGAAAAAATTGAATAAGAATTGTGTAGATCATTATATTCTTATAAAATAATGGCTATCTTATTGTAAAGCATAAAGTATTTATGAAAAATTCTTTTAACTATATTTTAATTTAAAATTTATGCAATGCCTACATATTACCATTAATTCATTTTTTTTGGTTTAGCAGAACTTTAGTTTTAAGAAACTTTATAATATGCAGCTTTTCTTGTAAACACAGGGGACATGGGTGACATAAGGATTTACAGATTCTCATTAATTTTAATACTTTCCATTTTACCTTTGGAGTTTTATTAATTTATTTTAAATGCCAAAAATATTTAGAAAGGGATGTTTGTTGAAAGAAGATATGTGCTGATACCATGTCAGTTTAAAGGAATTTTTTGTACTTTCAATGTAAAATTTCTTAACTGTTGGATTTTCACAAGATGAAAAGGGCCACTCAAGGTACAGTGTTGTGTTGTGTTAGCATAAGAAAAGGCAAGATACCATAGAAAGATAAAAATCTAATTCTAGACTTGAAGAGGTCAAGATTTAATTACTGAATAAAATTTTAGAGTTTAGGCGGAGACGTTAGAAGTATAGAGTTGAAGTAGACTTTAGAAGGAACCGGAAAGCCAATCCTAAACAGGAAAAAAGGGATAAACCTCTACTCTTATTCAAAAAACCTATCTACTCCTACTGAAGGAAGAAAATAAATAAATAATATTTCAGAGTTTAGGCGGAGATGTTAGAAGTATAAAGTTGAAGTAGACTTTAGAAGGAACCGGAAACCCAATCCTAAACAGGAAACAAGGGATAAACCTCTACTCCTATTCAAAAAACCTATCTACTCCTACTGAAGGAAGAAGATAAGTAAATAACATTTCAGAGTTTAGGTGGAGACATTAGAAGTATAGAGTTGAAGTAGAATTTAGAAGGAACCGGAAACCCAATCCTAAACAGGAAACAAGGGATAAACCTCTACTCCTGTTCAAAAGACCATGGAGGAGTGTCAACTAAAGTGATTATTAAAAAAAGTAAAAAAAAAGTAGTTATCTCACACTTGTGGTGCGAGGTGACAGTATCTTTAAGAAAATATTCTTACTAATTAACCCATAGCCGGGGGAGAAGGTGAATTTATACCTTTACCAAGGACATTTGCATGTAAGTGAATGTGACTATATATTGGAACTAGTCTCTCCGATTAACCATTCTGAGCCATTGCCATCAAAGCTTAAAGCACCTGCTATTCCCAAGTGGTCACCCATCTAGGTACTGACCAGGCTCAATGTTGCTTAACTTTGTTGTTCTTATGGGAACTGGTTTTTCAACATGGTATCTTCATAAGCCTAATAACTGGAAAAATGTTCAATGAGATTTTACTGAACATAAAGTGGAGGATCGGTTTTCAATTATTTTAAAGTAATAAACTAATCCCCTGCAATAATTACTACATATTAACAAAATAATTGGAAATATAATTCGAAAGGCTCACATGTGAAAACCTAATAATGGTAAAGATATCAATTTCATATATGCTACGGATAAATTAATATAAAAAAAAGGTCAACAAAAAACAACACGAAATAGTAATATCATTACAATGATATACAATAATGGCTGGCTGGCCAATCCCTGTTGCAGATGCCTGCTCAGTTACATTTGTGTTTGTTCAACATGCACAGAGCCCACTATGCTGAGCGGACATTAGTTACAGTTTCTGTGAAAGAGCATGTTATCTAGTGTGATCAACAGTCTGAACAAGTCTAGCACACTCAAACCCTCGGTCACGATGACTTTGTGACTTTGTGCTAGCAGAAACATCGACAACTCCCAAAACATTCCATCTACCCAGTTTCACTCATAAGACATGGTATGGTTTTCAGGCACTTTCCAAATGTGCTACACAATGGGATCACCTCTAGAGGCCAACAACATCAATACATCACCTTCCTGATAAATCGACCATTGTCCGATTTAAATCCAGGTCTCATGTTCAGAAAGTGAAAATTCTAACTACTCAGCCACATGATTATAAAAGATAATTAACCCAGATTATTGGTCCTCTCTCAAGAAAGCTCAACTGAGGATTAAAAAGATGTGAACAATAACTAAAAACAACCACTGAACATAAAATATATAAATATCTAACACTTATAGGCTTATTACCTTTTAAGCTTACCAACTGCTTTATTCTGCTTAACTTCTTCCCTGTCAATTATTTTATTTTCAGACAATTTTTTTTTTTATTTGTTTTTAATATAGTAACTAAGAAACTGAGGTACCTTGAAGTACCCGAGTGGTGGCTAATACCTCTACCAGACGTATTAGTTGACAATTCGACTCATTTCAAGCTCGGAAGGGTATGAAATGAATCAAGATTGACATAAGAGTCTGCAGCTGGTTTTTGAACATTATGTTTTGGATATGTTTATTCAACATGTTTATGGAGTGTCCACCTAAGAGTTCAATAATGTACCAATTTAAATGCTGGTGTGATGCTGACAGTAGAATGGATCAGAATTTGGAAGCTGTATCAATCAGCACATATCGGTCAGTATTATGTATTTATGTAACATTTGATCTTTGACATTTTTTTTTTCTAAATCAAACCACACAATTTTTATTCCTCAAGCTTATCTCTGAGACAAAGGGATTGATAAATCGGTTTAGCTATCTTTTTGAATCATCGTGTTATATTCTGATATAAACCAATTTACGGTAATACTAATTGTTTTAGTTACTGCTCTTTCCAATAGCCAGTATAAAATTAGATTGAGGATAAGAATCAATTTTTGATTAAAATAGAAAATTGCATTTAAAACTCAGACAGGGAAATAATAATTGTTTGAAATTATGTCATTAAGAAAGTATAAAAAGATTAACTCCTTAAAATCGACAGTCTTTTGTTGTTAACCCCAAATTAGTCACATGGGGTGTTTTGTTATCACCAAAATCTTTAAAGTACTTGGATTTCTTAGTTAGCAACTTGTTTCCTTTACTTCCTCCAACTACACCCCATGACACAGTGAGAATGTGTAGCAAGCGGTATGGTGCAGTTGTAGCTCAGTTGTCAAGGGAGATTTGTCTTTTTCAGGGTGTCCTGTTACCCCACACCCGACTAACAAAGTTTTCATATATATATATATATATATATAAAACTCTCTCAGCCGTGTAATTATGAGTTTATCTAAAGTAATATCTTACTATTCATAGAAATAAATTATGGCTAATTTTGATAAATAAACCTTTTCTTCAATATTGTATTGACGTGTTTTACCAACAATTTACAAAACCTGTTTATGCAACAAATTTATTATAATTTTCATTTCAGTGAATAAATAATATCTTCAATTCAGGTTTTGATTTAATATATATCGTAACAGAGATTGCCTGTTACGTTATTCTTTCCAGTGGTACGACAATATTTTACATAATTTGAACACTATAAGCATTTTTGTATTGGGGTTTGTAAACACCCCAGGGGACTATCCGTTTTTGGAAATCTGAGCTGACTAATGACGGGTTAAGGAAAAGTCAATTGTAGTTAATCAATACCAATTCTAAAACTAACATTAATGTGCTTGTTTATAAATGCCCAGGGGGTGAGGAAATGGCCCAGATCAAGTAATATGTAGCAAACATCAAGAAATTGTTTTTTTTTTTTTTTAAATTTAGACATTATCATAGTATTGTCTTGTAAAAAGCAGACAAATAAATTAATGTTTTATTAATTAATTAAAAAAAAAAATGAATTATTATAAACACAAAAATTATGGAGGCAAAAGAAAGAATTTTGTTACAAATTGTTTTTATACATTTATATAAAACACAGAAGGAATGTAGAAAAAAATGCTTCACAAAAATTCACTTCATTACAGAAGCATGCGTTAACCCTTTTGCATTTTAATGTAAAATAAAGTCAATTTGTAATTGAAAATGAAGGAAAAGAAATTGGAGCTCTCAAAGTTGGGGGAGGGGGTCTTTGGCATAAAAGGATTTGGTGCTTAACAGGCAAAACATTTTATAGAATTTCATTTTCTGAATTTAAACTGGAGCTCTAAATTTTAAAGTGAAGATAATTTTAAATATTTGTTTCACTAGAAATATTTGACAATAATATCTTAAACTGTAGTGAGAATGAAAGAATTTAAATTATTCTCAAAAACTCGGAAATCTTGCATTATTATACTGCTAAACTGGTAATAATTGCCCTGGCAAAGCCAACAAGCCAATTGCCTGGGTGAAGCTAACAAGCCAATTGCCTGGGTGAAGCTAACAAGCCAATTGCCTGGGTGAAGCTAACAAGCCAATTGCCTGGGTGAAGCTAACAAGCCAATTGTCCTGGCCACAGAAGCAAGCGAATTGCACTGGTTATTATAACAAGTACATTAGCCCCAGGCTAAACTAAGGAATAAATAAGATTTAGAAGCATCGTAAAAAGATAAAAATTCAACTTTATTGTATTTTCAATGGAATGATTTTCTGTCTTTCCATGAGTGAAACATAAAACTACAAAATAAATTGATTGCTACCCACTAACAAAGTTTTTTCAAAATTCCATCTCTAAGATGGTAACCGAACATTGATGAAACTCTTAGAAGGTTCCATACCTATTTTCATGATTGATATATGATAATAAAATAGTTATTTCAAATTGTGTTAGAAAATCTTAAACTATGTTGGTTGGGTGGGGGAAATAATTACTTTTGTAAAATAGAAATTTTAAAAAACTAATAAAAAAAGCACAGTAATTAAATTTATCATTTTATATATATATATATATATATATATATATATATATTTAAAACAGGAAAAGGTTTTATTGAAAAATATTATTTGTATCCCTTAATAGTTGATACATTGAGGGTATGAAATATGTATGCAAATAGAACAATTATTATGGAATGTAAGTAGTAGTTTTTTTTATTTGTGTTTACTAACTGTTCACCCATGACAAAGGCCCATGAGCCATTCAAAGTAGAGTGTTACTGATTGAGGTTGTATGGCATAGAGTTTAAGAGGACATGTAGGAAAGAAATTGGTTATCCTAAAACATAAGGAGGTTAAGATTGTAATGAATGATCCTCTGGATGCTTACCTCAATCATTGCAATCTTAACCAAGGGAGTGTCTATTCCATGAAGCAAAAGTTCTTGTGAATAAGCTGTCTAAATGGAACTTCCTGGTATAGATTGGTAAAGAGAAAGGCAAAGAAGGTTCTAATGGTATGGATCCGTAAAGAGAAGGGCAAAGAAGGTTCTAATGGTATGGACCGATAAAGAACAGTCTAGATTCTAATGGCATAGACTGCTAAAGCACTAAGAAGGTTCTCACGGTATAGACAGGTAAAGAGAAGTGCCAAGAAGGTTCTACTGGTATGGACTGGTAAAGAATAGCACTAAGAAGGTTCTACTGGTATAGACTGCTAAAGAGAAGCACTAAGAATGTTCTAACGGTATGAACTGGTAAATAGAAGGTAGTGAAATGCTGATAACCTAATACTTAAAGGCATGGAGAATGAAGTTAGCAAGCCTAGTTCCAATTCTGGCTGAATTCACTTTGTATTCATATCCTTGAGAAAGCCACATTGCAATCTTTTCTCCCCTATATCTAGAGGTTTATGTGACAATGAAATTCCTGTGGGAATCTCCCTTGGCATCGTGAAATATTTGAGCTTAAAAACTTTAGCAAAATATTGAAATAACATTCATAAATATAAATGTTGTCCATTATGAAAAGATGCAGAACTGATAAGACTTTAGATTTAAATTTTTTTTTATAGTGTGAATTCACTCAATCCAAAGCCCAAGGGTCACTCACAGTAAAAGAGATTCCATGGCTGGTAAGTTTATTTAGCAATCCCCTGTGTCACACCTTATCAAAGACCTTTGAGATGTCCAGGGCAATCACTCTCGAGATGTTTTCTGAAGTGCTTCAATGATTCTATGCATGATAATTATCAAAGCATCAGCAGTGGAACTAAAAGAGTAAAAACCATACTGTTTGTTACTCAGGAGTTTGTTTTTTGTTGGTGTTCAATAAATTAGGAGGTTTGGTTTGTTTTACAGCATATCAACCTCAATGGTTATTTACTCCTGACAACTTTTATTGGTTGTAATATTTTGTTTTGCCAAAAATCTATTTCTGATAATATTTTTTTTCTCAAAAATGTATAGCCAGTAATATTATTTTAAAAAATGTATTGCTGGTAATATTTTTTTGTTTTCAAAAATTTATTGCAGGTAATATTTTTTTTCAAAAATATATTGCTGGTAATAGTTTTTTTTTTTTTTTTTTCTTTCAAAAGTTTATCTCTGGTAATAATTTCTTTACAAAGT